TCAATTTCAGCTATGCATAGCAAATCACCCAGAATTTTACATCATCTATGTAAAATATAAGATGTAAAAAAAAAAAAACTTAATACTTTTTAGATTGCTAAAATATAGTCTTTGTTTTAGTTAGCAAAACTAAAACAAATTTTAGTTTTAAAATTACACCCTTAGTGGCAAACTTTGCTTTATCCTTAAAAGCCATCTTGGAACTCAATGACAAATAATAAAATACCTTACCAAATAAACTTTAAACCCTTAGCACTTAGCCATTTAGATAACTCCAGACTCAGATTCAATGTTTGATCAGATGTTTGCAGTCTCTGATCATCCTCAGAAGCAGATGTAGAAATAAAGGAGGGTGTAGCTCAAGGTGGAGTGCTCTCCCACCATGCCTAAGGCCCTGGGTTAGAGCTTTAGCAACCCTTACACTGGACATGGTTTGGTGTCCATGCCTGTCATCCCAGCCTCTGGAGGTGAGGTAGGAGGATCGGAGGTTCAGGGCCATCCTCAACTGCACAGGTCTAAGCTTCTTGAGACCAAACTTAAGGAGTCACTTATAAACTTAAGGAATACACACTCTGTGTACCAGAGTGTGATCTGTGCTGTTTTCAGAGATCTTGCAAAGATGGTGTGCTGAGCCTGAGGTCTTCACCAGGTGCTAGTGTGTGAGACCAGAGGCCCAGCAGAAACATTTGTCACCACTTCATCCCCCCAAGGTGAAGAAAGGAAGCTATAATAATAGTGGATGAATGTTCATAGAATATTGTGTTTTAAAAAATCACATGCGCACACACACACTTTCTTCTTCTAGATCTAAGAACTCCTGGCTAGAAACATCATTTAGAATGACAAACTGCCTTTGCTAAACCAAATGAGGGGACATTCACTGTTGCAAGGTTCCCGCCTTAAACCAGATTCAGCCTAGAAGCTGATCACAGAGTCGCAACCTCTTGGCCTTGCACATGACAGAAATCACCACCTCCAGGAAGCTGCTCAAAGAACCGAGGTGGTAATACCATGAACACAGGAAGCTGTACACCCTGAAGCTAAGTGGTTTACCATCCTCACATCTGCCCGGGCATCTGGGCATCCGATGACAAACACAGTCTCACTGCTTGAAAGAAAAAAAAAAAAACACCATTTTATTGGGAGATCATTCAAAAGCCATATGACTCAGCGGTGCAAAGTTCTTAATCGAGCTAGTGCATTTTTAATCCACTTCCACCATCCCATTGCAGAGTTTTCTCACCCCAGAAGAAGGCCCTAACCATCAGCAACCATTTTATACACCCCACCTAGCCCTTCTCTACTCCAGCAACCCCGAGCTGCTTTCTGCACCAATGAGCTTGCCTCTTGTGGAATGTTCATATATGTAGAGGGAAGGAAGATATGACCCTTCAGATACCGTGCTTTTGACTCTTTGTACCCTAATGTGTCTCAAATGATTCATTTGTCTTTATCACTCTACATTTTTCCAGTGAACAGATAACCCTCCCCTTGTTCATCAACTGACTAGTAGATGTCCTTTATTTGTGGATGTTGGTTAAGGTCATGAGTGGCACACCTGTGGTTTTGCTGAGCTATCAGGGAACCCTGGGCTCTCAGTCCATGCTAAACAAATGCTGTATACCCCCAGTATGCCATGCATAGGTCTGTGTACAGAGACAGGATTTTCATTTCTCATGAGTATGTATCCAGGAGTTCAATGTGTGGCTCATGTGATAATTATATACTAAGGTGTTTAAGAAATTTCAGTAGCAGCTGTGACCTTCAGACACTGTCTTCACGAAGCATCTCACCCCATGGCTATTCATTAGAGCGGTCAGATCACATGTCAGACGTGTTCTTGTCTCCTCAGCACTTGAAACAGCAAAGGTGTGAATATGTTCGCTGAGACTTCTTCCGGTTTCAAAGTCACCATCCTTCCTCAGTCTGCGAGTGACTTTGGTGCTCCCTATAAAGCAGAGGGACCTTTCTTGTTAAAGTTTGAGAAACTGATAATCCTCCTACCCACTGCAAGGTGAGTTACCATTTTTTTGGTGAGCCATCTCTTCTGAGAGACCTTCGGCTGTCAGGAGTTTCCTGCCTGGGCATGCATCTTCACCTGCCAGCTTTATGTCAGAGGAGCAGAGTGGTGGGACAAGAGGGTGTATATACCAGTCACTGTTCAAACACCATCACAAATGCCTGAGACAACAGGAAAGAAAAAAAAAATGGTTTACTTTGGCTTACAATTCTGGAGACTTCAGTCCTTCCAGGCCATGATCAATTAATTAGTCGCAATGATTTGGGGCCGATTATAAGCAGCCCGTCATGGTGGAGATGTGTGGTGGGCCAAGCCGCTCACCTCATGTCTGTTGGTGGGCAGTGGAGGAGGTAAAAATGAAGAGACCCAATCTATTTTGGGAGCAACTTGCTGTGACACAATGGGCCGTCGCTAAGCCCCACCACTCCCCAAAGTGCTGAGGTAAAAGTAATCGTGGGGTCTTGAGAAACATACCAGATCCAAACTCAAGCAGATCTGTGCCTGACTTCCTCAGGGAAATAGGAGGAGAGAGGAGCTAGGAGGGAACAGCCGAGGACTGAGCTCAGTGGATGCAAGAGCTAGATCCTTCTGCAGCTAAATGTGGTGACCCATGCCTGTAACCCCGGAGCTTGGAAGTGTGTATGGGTATCTACATATGACATCTGAAAGAGAGGAGAGGAGAGGAGAGGGG